GTATTTTGTGAAGGGTTTAAATGTGAATGTGCTAGCAGGAAGACTGGATTCGATAATGTTTTAGCTAAATATATTCGCTTATTGTATATTATTATTAATACAAAAGATTTAATTTTACTTTAATAATGATATCGTGTTTTGGTTCTTCTGCATGCATGCTGATAATAAATGAGCATAACGAATGTAGTATTTTGGGTCGCAAACGGATACAAACAGTTTTTCGTATTTTTTTATGTTGCTGCAAAGCAAATATTATTATTCAATAGAACTCACAAGCCAATGAGCAAAACATACAAATTACAAACACAATGTGCCGTTGACATTTTGTCCTGCATATTTACATATGTTTTACATAATTAATGAGGCATGCTATCTATATATAGTCAATCTTCGAAGTGTCTACTGTACAAAAAGTAGATGTCAATACCGTCTGATACATCAATTATTTGAACCTCTTGCCAGTATATAATATCACATGTCCATATTTATGCAAATTATCCATAATCTCCCTGATGTAGTTCATATAAAGTCATGAAATTGTCAAATTCACATATCGGTTGGAACAGTTTGATATCATCAGTACGTGCATCCACTGTAACGAGAAAACACAACAGTACAGCTGAAAGTGTTAATACGCTCACGGAATCTGAATACCCGTAGCTGAATAGGAATCCGATTAATGTTAATCTAACCTTGTTTCATCGTGATGCTATGCTTTAAAAAAATTAAATGACGTTGAATACACTCAGCACGGCTCAATCATAGTCGCGTCGATGCCATCAACCAGGTTGTTTGTTCGGTTGCCATGGCAATACTGTTTCCTATCCCACGACCCATTCCATTCCATCACAATGCAACATACCAATCACCAATATGAAAGTAATCACCACGAGGCGAGGAAGCATCACGTCTTCTTTAAAAGCACAGACACATAGCCATGAATAGCGACCAAGAGACAGCATTGATTTCACTGTACATGTCACTACACTAAATCACTGCTCTTGAACGTCATGCTTTCTAATTGTCACGGTTTTCATTAATGAGCTAAGCGACATGATTCAATCGACTATTATTTGATACAATGGCCATCTAACTATTTTGCGCGCAAGAAATGTGTCAAACACACATGGGAATGCCAATTTCGAGCCATGTTACCGTGACGAATTGCGGCATCCCGAGCCGGAATGTCTTTTTAGTTGTGTCCACTGCTTTCTGTTTTGTCTGCGCGTCTCAACGCGTTGCAGCCAGTCGATGTATGTCCGATATTCATAAATTGACTTGAAGATCTTGCGTTTAGGGTCCATCTGCATATTTTACGTAATATAATTGTTGACAGGACTCACGAAATGTCTTCAAAAGTATAATAATTTCCCTAAAATATATAACTTTAGATTATTTGGAGTGGTGGGTTTTAAATAAAATATAGCCCTCCTCATTGGACTTCTGAAGATATAAAGTCATTTCTAAACAAACCGTACTGAGGTCTACATAAGGTAGCCGTAGTTGACCATATAATATGGTTACAAGAAAACTTAAGTCGATATGGTAAATCGTGGTCGCTGTCCATGGTCACGATATCACCAACCGTTATGATCCATTGTTACTCTGTGGTTAGCAATCAAATACCGTGCTGATCATGGTAGAACGTGATCAACCATTTTATTGGTTAGTTTCATTGATTTGTAATTAACGTAAGTCGGCCATGATTCAGGGAAAGGGGGAGAAGCTTGTGAGTATAGCGGTCTTTTCTAGTCACAAAAAACATCTTTTCTATATATATAAAAAAAAAAACTTCATTCATAAACCCGTTAGTAAATCAGTGTTCACTGTCATTATGTTCGCGCTGATTGGCCAGAATACAGTAACGCGACAATAAATACAACGATGTACATTTCGAGTGGCTTACTCCTACATGCGCACTTGGGGTGATATAACACATGACATATTAGTGCAAAACGAAAGTGTGATGACTTCTTTGCATAAAATAAATACAAAGCCTATTTACGTACATAAAAAATGCTCCCAGGCCTGAATGTCAAAATTACGTTTGGTTGTATATTCGCTTGTATATATGTATATATATAGGTTGACAACAAAAGGATCGATGATATTCGCATTCAATAGTTAATATTGTTTAACTGCGTAATAAAATGAGATATCTCTCACTTCAAAGCATCGTCTCGTAGTGTCGTGTTCGGTATGGGGCCTATATACAAAAGGTGTGGAGTTTATTGTTAGTTTACACGATATTCGAACACGGCGCTGTCAATATCATAGTACAAGTAATGGGATCTATAGTTGGTCAATATTCACTTCATTCGGGTGAGTATGATTTTATGTTCGTAAAAAACCCGGTCAATAAATAACATTGTATCAACATAAAGAGCGTATGTATAAATCTAAATCATCTAAGCAGAAAATGTAGCCGCCTTTAGATGTTATCGAGCAAATATCATAGATATACGACCCCCTCGACTGCGCCTTACTATTACAGGTAATGACATAATGGTGTCACCAGTACATCATTGGGGTAGCAGTCTCGCTCTTTGTCTAAGTGCTTTAAGTTACATTCAGATCACGGTTGATATCTGATTGCTTTTATTTAAATCAGGTTGAAGATCATGTGTTTGTGTTGGTAATTTCAGAATATGCATTGTTCGGTGTCATTTACATTGGCGAAGATTGATTTATAACGCGAACTATTTGATGAATTGTGATTCGGAATGATACATGACGGGTGTCCCACGTGGGCAGGATGTGCTCACTATTTTCGTAACATCTGATAGATTCAGCGATAGATTTCTCTTCACTGGCTTGACCATATAATTCGTCTGAGTAATTTAAACTTGTGAAATGCCTTTACAAATATAGATTCGATTTCGAGTGAGTGTCTAATTATATCTTGTTAAAAACCGGGCAATGATTAGAAGTTCTGAGTTAACACTAGTACACCAGTCAATTTGTAATTCAAATGAACATATGTCATCCGTGTATAAATAATACTACACAATCTACACCAGAAAACGTCGTGTGGTAACTGATGCGACAGAGCAATGGGCTTCCAAATATAACGATCGCCAAATTAACTGGTCTAATTACGGTGACCTCATCCTGTGTTAACAACGGTTATTTCCATTGTAATTGGACACCGCTATTCTTGCAAACGAGGTATTATACGCCGAAAAAAAGATCAGGCTATTCATATAAATATATTTCTGCTTTTCCTAATAATTGGCAACACATCCACCCTACGAAAAGATCCACTGACCGAAACCCATTAGTTGACAGTTGTATTACTGGTGCAATTAGTGCCACTAAGCCGAGTCTTACGTGTCATCCAACAATATAATTACGCGACTTATCAGGGAATCAAGAAATTAAAATATATAGATTTCAATTATACATAATAAGCGATTGATTGGCTTACGAATGCGTCTTAAGAAGTGTGATTAGAATAGACGGATTTCAATATATACATAATAAGTGATTCACTGATTGCGCAATGGGTATACAAACATAGGTTTTATAATGACAGGAATCAAACCTTCCAATGACGTGTAGTATTATAATCGGAGCAGCTGTCCGGCATGAAAGCTTCGTCACTTAAGCGAGAAAGAATTTCTTTCAATAATATCGCGAAAGCAGGATATTTTCCAGTAGCACTAATCCTTATTTAGTCATTGTTAACTTTGTACATGTACGCGAGTCAGTTTGTTTTTAGAGCACTTTTCTCGAGCCCGAGGTTCTTTGTGAACCACATGGAAATGTAATAAAAGTGGCACTTACGGAGTACGGAGAAGTTGAATCTTAAGATATGGTAATTATTTGACAGTAAGGGTTGAAATCTCTTTAGATATCGCATTACTTCATTGTTGAATTGTTGAATGTACTCACACACATTGACAAAACGACGCGTAACCTGTACAGGTGACAGAATGAATGGCATTAGTAAGTAATCTCCATTGACTATTACTTACGTAAATAAATCGTTAAATGGACAAATAAATAAAAAAATACAAAAAATAAAATTTTCGAGGAGTGAATTGACTGATAACATCAACACACACACGCGCTTACACACACGCGCTCTTCACATATTTCGAAACATTCCCTCACTTCGACCCTACGCTCAGCCTGAGCAGGAATTAAATCGATGTGGTCGCCAGGTGTTATAATCACACTACTAATACTTGTCCTAGATTAATAAAATATAATTTACTTAAGTGATACACTGAAAAGTACAAGGGTATACTTCATCGGCGGGATCGACAGGAATCCATACTGTAACGTCACACAGGGTATCCATATTCTCATTACAATATGTCATAGAAATGTGAATACATCAGTAATTCGGCTTTTGTTGTGAGAAATGTATTAAACAGCACGACAAATGAAAAGAACCGTACCTTTGAATATATCGAAACAAATAAGAAATTGTTTTCACATGAGTCTCTCTCAAGCTATAACTACATGCTATCTATATGTCAGTATATACATGAAAACAACAATGACGAAACATAATTAAGTCTCGAATAGAACTATACCAAATCGATAAAATACGAATGACCCCACTATTTTAGAGCATCTCAAAACTTGAAACAAAAATATCTAGTTTGTCACAACATTTATCCAATTGATTATGATTAGTGGGGTATTATTTTGAAGCTTAAAATACTACACCGCGTTGTATTAAAGTTAATACGGCGCTTGGACGATTGCCACTGATAACTTGAATAATTCTTAAACATCGTATCTTGAATTGTCCACCCCGACTGGACTCGGCTTAATTATTAACTACAATGATGTCGGTTTGCAGAGCCATTTATCCGAAATAAAGAAAAGCGTTACCCAGTATGTCTCAGAAAACTGTTATATCGACCACAGCTGTTGACGGGCCGATTTGTTCGCTTGCTAGAGCTTCATCAACACAGCCCAAACTACCTTTGCGGCCGGTCTCGTGTGATTGTGCCGCTTCTTCCTCAATCTTCTCGAATATCGCATTATCGAACGCGCCGGTAGTACCAGTGCGGGACGGTGATCCCGATCGATCGGGGGTTGTACTTGAAGTCAGGCTGATACACTGTCGGTTCTTGTCGTTTCTGTCCTGGTGTGCTTGAGATAAATATGCTTTCCGACCTGTTCGTCGATCGGCCCTGGCACCGAAGAAGGCGGAGTATGTTTTCTTTGAAACTTCTTCCAACGAAAGTGTATATTATAGGATTGATTGCACTGTTCGCGTAACTTAAACAAATGCTGGAATAGTTGAAAATCACGCTCACCTTAGATGGGAAACCATCCAGAAAGAACGCGTAATAAAGCTGCAAAGCATAGAACGGAAACCAGCATACGGCGAAAGCTACGACAGCCACGATGACTAAAATAGCTACGCGCCTGGAGCCTTTCCTATTGGCATCATTCCGGCTACTTTCTGGCTTATCTTTGGCGATTACGTGTCTATAAATTACGCAATAACAACCGGCGATTATGATGAGAGGTACGGCATACCCCAGCACGCAGGCGTAAATTAAAAATGTCACCGGGACGCGTTCGTCTTCAGGCCACTTCAAATAACAAACTATATCATCTCCTAGCAAAAACGTTTCCGTATACAACCAGAGCGGAAGACATATCAGCGTTGAGAGCAGCCACGCCGTTACGCAAATTATTCGAGTGGTGCGCACTGTACGAATGCGTAGCGATTTCATGGGATGCACAAATGCCACGTAGCGATCCAGGCTCATCGCTGTAAGTAAAAATACTCCCGTAAACTGGTTCATGCCATCGAAGGCCATCACGATTTTACACATCGCGGCGCCGAATATCCACGTGCCCATCACTTGTTGGTACGCTAGAAACGGTATGGTTAGCATAAATAAAAAGTCCGCAATCGAAAGGTTCAAAATGTAAATATTGGGCAAGGTTTTCATGCTAGAAAAGCGCAAGAGTACTAGAATTACCAACAGATTCCCCACAAACCCAAACACAAATATAATGCTATACATTACTGGAAGAATAAGTTGGAATTGTGAGTCTAACTGTTCCCACCAGTCCGGGAAAGGGTCGTACATGGAATCGGTGGCATTCGTCATCGGACGAGTCAAGGTGATATTAGATTCAGCTGTGTTGTTGAACGGTACACAAGTAGTAGCTTCACTGGTCACATTCCGCGGATTAAATTCGGACGCGTTCATGTTTTCGTAGTATCCACTGGACGAGAGCTCTAAAGAAGAGACGTTCTCAATGCTAAAACTTAGAAATTCCGTAGCATTCTGCCACATAGTATCGGTGGTGTCTAGATATACCATGGTAAGTCGCTCACTAGAGCTGCGCTTGTAAGAAGTGTGATATTAATATAGACTTCAAGTAACTAGCAACATCGTATTATCGACACCAATTTGTATGGATTTTCGTACACGTCAACGCCCCCTGGATTCAAATTAATCCAATCATCATGAGATATCATTGGGCCACGTCCCCCGAGTCGCCAGCGGTGTCATTATTATGCCATCACTAGACAGCGTCATTGCTGGTAATTACATGCATGTGTAGTTATTACTTGCAGTGATGTCACGTAATAAAGGTTTGACATCGAATCGTGGTAGAATACACCTACGTACGACTGACAGTGCATTATTCTTACAAATACATTTAAAGAAATTTATTCAAGATTTTGTGTTGTATCTCACTTGCCTCAGGCTGTATTTTCTTTGTACGCATGAGCGTTGTAGAAAGCACTAAATAACGATTTAAAAGGTAATGTCCGCTGTGAGCTGCTAGTTTATTTAGATCTGCGGGGTTGCGATCGGATTACTTCTTGTCGCGTGATACTCTACGTGAGTGCATGTATTGGCATGCGTTATCCATGGCCACATAATAGGGTTAATTGTCTTGAACAATAAACAAGATCACAGTAGGTGCCAATAGTATGTGTTAGATTCGGTATGAGATACAAAGCAATGTCATGAATCCAAAGAATATTTAAAGAATATCAATACAGACAAGCTCAGTGCTACAAGTTAAAAAAATCATATCGCGCCCGGCTCAATTTAAACATATTTAGGCAAACTTATTCATTTTTATAAAAGCGTCGCGTACTTATTGAGCTGGTTTCCACATAATAGTGAATAATAGTCGTCATGCAAGCGAGCGTTCTAATTTTATGCCAACAGAGCTTGTCACACGCGTGATATACATTATATTTCCATTTCGAACCTCAAACATAAAAGACCAAGCAAAAAACTTCATTTGTTATTGCGATTCGTTTTGGATCATTCGCATTGTGCTGTGCAATGTTCGCCCACATGACGACAGCATGCGTAATAGCCATTAAGCGAAATCAAACATACGAAATAGCAAGCCGCATGTCGGTCAGTGTAAGTTATATTGACAACGAGTAGGAACGATGATAAACACGAAACGCAAACTTACTTTAGCAGATTGTTATCGATGATTCAGCTGATGTGTGCGCGGCCAATAGTGGCAACCAGTTCGACGCATGCGTAATGTTTGTGATATTAAAGTACGAAATGAGAACCAATCAAAATGTAAATGAAAGTAAATCACATGACGTCACGGCTAGCAGTTTCAAATCTGTGAAATATCAGGGAGTGGTAATTGTGCGTAGAACGATGCTCGCTAAAGGACGATAAGTCTAACTAGATCACGTTCGGTAATAGATAAATCGACACTGCAGATAGATTACGTTTAGGCAATTCAAAAGGAAATACGCTTATTCATGGTTACACAAGTGTGTAAATGAGACCACTTTTAAGTGGTGTAAGTGAGAGCCTGATAATAGTATATTCTGTGCCGAACGTGTCTAATGATCATTTGATAACAAATTGTGCATGGGAACTGCTGCAGATGCCATAGCAAATTAATAATCATCTTCACTGAATTGTAAACTCGACTCTATGTTGTGTCAATTTCACATGTCCTTATTAACTGCAAATCTGTTGGGGAAAAAAACAGTGCAAGGGCCTTAAGATGTATGTATTATCGCAACCGGCGACTTCCCACGCAATATCATTCAGGTGAAGTTAACGACAGTTTTGGTGATGCTGTTGAGGTTTTTACGGTTGCCATTAATTTAACAACAGATGATTAGATGTCTCATTTTATGATGTTATTCTCAGAACGCAGATAAAAGAATATGGGCATCGAACCGTAGTTATCTTATTGGCATTAATGGAGACTAATTGTATTTAGACTTGCCGTGGATGTCCGGTAAAGACAGGTTTCAAGTATTTAAAAACATATTATCTGATAATCATTCGAATATGTTACCTGGTAACTACTTTTGTGAACATGACAACTGCGTAGCGATGTACATGCGCTTCAAGGAAGTGACTGAATTTGCATACATTTTCTACTTGGGTAAGTAAGTGTGCTACAGTGCAATGACCCGACGAAAAAAAAAACAAGAAGAGAACAGCTTTCATGAAAAAAAGCTTTTATAGTTAGCTTTGAACATACATTTAATGGGTCATCGCGGTTCAGTGCCGTCAGTTATTTTGAATTAAATAACAATGGTGCACATCGTTGGAGTTGCAATGTCAGATGGGTTCGATCGACATTTAATTATATTATTGACAGTGCACGGAAACGAACATGGTAATGCATGACGTCACAATGTAGCACAAGTATATGTAAACAAGTTTCACTTTTTTCAGTAAGTGTGCTAATTTTTTCATCGTACGTGAGTGTTATCACTTAATCGGCGCGCATTCTTTATTATACTTTATGTATTGAACACAGATTTGTCTGCGATGACAAGGCCCGATCCAAGCCATAAAGCAGTCACACGACTGGGCTAAGTAGATGATTGTGGAAAGACCCCGATGAGAAACCCGTGAATAAACAATCACGTTCCAGGTCCGCTCTGTTCATCGGGTTCGTGTTTTCTCAGCTAAACATCGGTTTGTAGAAAAATCAACAAAACCTCGCTTTGGAGTTTTATCAAACACAGTACGACTTTTATTTCCGTAAATATCCCATACCCGTAAGCTTACTATCAGTTTTATAATATATATTGTGTTTGCTTGGGCAAAAACTATTTTACGAAAATTTCAGTTCAGATTATGTTAAGTGTATATAAATATTTATTCAGTATCTACGAGCGTTTCGTTTGAATGTTTGGTGTGATTATCGTACACAAATTACAAATAAAGTGCGAGTGGCTTATAATAACGATATAAGACTGATATTTAACGGTATATCAGCGCTAGTCGTAATGTAACAGAAATATTTAAAATGTGAAATCTCTTCAGTGCAAGCAGTTGTATAACTTCAGTGTTTTTCTTAAAATCGCAAATTAGTTATGTACAATACTACTGTTTTGTGGTAAGACATTCAATGTGTTT